TATGTACAGGTATATAACAATAGACACAGTATGTACAGGTATATTATGTGCAAATTGAGGTGTAGACTGAGTATGAGTGTTAGATAAATAAGTGTATGAGTGAATAAATAGTGTGTGTTCCACAGTTATTGTTAAGTGTTCATGAGATGGATTGCCTGAGGGAAGAAACTGTTCCTGTGTCTGGTCGTTCTGGTGCTCAGTGCTCTGTAGCGTCGACCAGATGGCAACAGTTCAAAGAGGGAGTGTGCTGGATGTGAGGGGTCCAGAGTGATTTTGCCAGCCCTTTTGCTCACTCTGGATAAGTACAGTTCTTGGAGAGAAGGGAGGGTTGTACCAATGATTCGCTCAGCAGTCCGGACTACCCTCTGAAGTCTTCTGAGGTCAGATTTGGTAGCTGAGCTGAACCAGACAGTTATAGAAGTTATTTCACTCAAATTGTTATGTTTATAATATAACTTAAGAAGGTCTAGCATTTTTTGGACCCCACTCTGACAAAATCAGACACGTCTACCTCATTTCCTCCAGCTTAAACCATCTTTAATTGACATCTCTTTCTGCGGGGGCAAAAGCCGTAACCCTACAATCCCAGTGGTCTCATACCATCCAACCCTCCCCCTGCATGCTTCAGGGCACGTGACCGCGTACAGACTGCCCTGAGGTCCCAGGAGTGGAATAACTTTATTACACAAAGACTGCGGAACAAACGAGAATTTGTGATGCCATGGGGAATGAAGTTCTGGCTGTCATCTGAACATGTTATCCCATCAATCAATCCCTCACTGGCTGACAGGCCGTCAAAATGGCATCCTGGGGGTTGAGTTATGGTGTTCTGCCAGACTGTGTGGTTATGCGATAGGGCATATTATGGCGAGAGACCGTGTGAACAATAACAGCCTATACATGCCAGCAGATTTACATTGAAAAATTATATGAATTTTGTGTAATGGTGATGTGCAGGCATTTGTATGTGACTTTTGAAATGTCAGTCTCCATTCAAAGGCTTTTCAAAGCAGCTGAAAATGCCAGAGCAATCACAATTTAACAGCTCTGGATGGCTTGACACAAGCCAGATGTATAAAATAATACCTTCACATTCCTCCCTATGGTGCAAAGCTCCAATTACACTTCACTCTTTAGAGGCTTTCATTATAGCGCAGCATTCATCTTGACAGTTTCTGAAAGTGCTGAGCTTTTTTGTGCTAAAAACCATTCAATATAATTCAGTCACATTACAAGTTGTTGTTTATGGTCAGCTATGACGTCTGTGCTTCATCTGAACTATTTAGTGAGAACTGATGTACATAGCATACTGAGCTATTTATTTTTTTATTTTTTTACATCTATAGCTTTATTTGCATCCATTAGCTTTTTAAAGATCGCTGCATATAATATGTCTACGTTAGCAAAGCCAATTTTTTTGTTTGTTTGTTTTTTAAAACCATGCCAGCTGTGTGGGGGTCTGAATACTTTCTGTACCCACTGTACATAGCATATTGAGCTATTTATTTTTTAATTTTTTTTACATCTATAGCTTTATTTGCATCCATTAGCTTTTTAAAGATCGCTGCATATAATATGTCTACGTTAGCAAAGCCAATTTTTTTGTTTGTTTGTTTTTTAAAACCATGCCAGCTGTGTTGACTATTGTCATGGTGAAAACTAAAAAACCTATTTACGATGTTAGAGATCCATTTTTAATAAAACCTCTAAAACTATATCTGCTCTTACTGTGTTAAAATCTTTTCATGGGTGTGCAAAGCATTCATGTAGTGGCCCCAGCTAAAAGTTTGGATGCTGAAGGCACTGTATGAATGTCATTGTGTTCATAACCGAATTCATAATAAAATATCAAATCAAATGGCATCTGCAAGCAAATCCAGCTAGAGCTTCTCAAATCTCTTCTGAGTCATGACTTTAAAAAACATGCACAGACAAATCCAAATTAAACCCTGCGGCTCGTGACGACACATTGATGTCCTAAGACACGAAACGATCGGTTTGTGTGAGAAACCGAACAGTATTTATATCATATTTTACCTCCAATACACCACTATGTCCAACTGCTTTGGGCGCGCACACAGCATCCGGTGCGTGAGGCGTTCTGTCTTAGGGTTTAGGATTTGGATTTGTCTGTGCATGTTTTATTTACTCTCATAGATTTTGTTACCATTGCCATGCATTATACGACTGATAGACTGCAACGGCTGGACTTAAAAATCTCAGTTTGTGTTCTACTGAAGAAACAAAGTCACCTACATCTTGGATACCCTGGGGGTAAGCAGATAAACATCACATTTTCATTTTTGGATGAACTATCCCTTTAAGAAACTGAGAATTCTCGAGAAAAAAGTCAGAATTTTGAGAAATATGACACAATTACCTTTCTTATTTTTTTATCCTGTGGCAGAAACAAGCTTCCAAATATATTCCATTAGTTTTCAGTCGCTCGATTGTCAGGTTTCTTTCATATTTCCAGCATATTGTTCCAGTGCAGTACTCAGAGCGCATCTGGCAGTATTTCTGCTCTCGACTCTGTAATTACGTGCCTGTGTTTCATTAATGAGTGCTGTGAC